AGCGGCGCGGGAGCCTTGCGGCGGGACGAGCGGCGCCGCGACGCGCAGGTACCGCGGGCGGGAGGGCGGAGGGCGCCGCTCCTTGCCCCGCCGGCCGCGGGGGAGTGGGCGTCCCAGGGGGCGAGGGAAGGGGCGCGGGCGCGAAGGCCTGGAGGGGGGCCCGGGAGGGCGGGGATGACACTACCGCAGGGGGGTGCCAGCCCCCCGCCGCCGGGCGGGAGGGGATGCCCGGGCGCGGCGCGGGGCGAGGGGTTGCGTGAAGGCGGGGAGAGGGGCTGAGGGGAGCCGGGGAGCCCGCTGAGGGGCGGGGGCGGCCCGAGGCCTGCTCCTGAAAAGTGCTGGATCACCCCCGCAGCCGGCTGGGTGGGTGAGGCACAGACCCGGCGGCCGGGCGGCTCCCGGGCTCCCGAAGCACCGGGAGCCCCGTCCCATCCCGTCCCGTCCCCCGGTGTGGCGGGGCAGGGCTGTGTCACTCCTGTTCCCGTCGCGGAGGCGAGGCCAGCCGGACACACGCGTGGTGCCGTCCCAGCGTGGATGTCACGGCGAGGGGCGGGAGGGCGGCCGTGTGAGACCCCCGGGTGTGGGGTAAGCAGGCGTGGGGCAGGCCGGGGGGTGATGTTTGCCTGGTGCCAGTCCGTACCGAGCCTGGGGCTGCAGGGACAGATTGGGCATTCGCTCGCATTGTAGGGGCTGCTTTAATATTTTCTTACACATCTTTTTAAATTGGATATGGTTTGGGGGAAGGGTAGGAGTCCTGGACGGTCTGCTGTGCAGAAATATTATTGCAGGCTTTGGCGGTTTGAATTCATGACTGTCCGGATAGAACCATGAGCAAGTCGACACTGTATAACTGGTAAAAACTTCGCACAGGGGTGTAAAACCTGTGAAGTTGCATTAGTGTTGGCATTCTGGAATGAGGGAAGGAGTAGTAGATGTCCTAAGTTTAGTTTAAATAAGAGTAAAGTTTATTGAGATATGGGTGAAAGGGTGATAAGAGAAGAGGAAGGCAGATAAGGTTGAGTCCGGCTCTGTGCTTCTTTATATGAAATTCGATTTTTTTGGAAGTTTGGGTTAATTATTTGTAATGTTTCTTTAAGTTTGGATTTTGATTTAGTAGGATTACATGTTTATAGTTGTGACCATGAATTGTATTAAACTTTTATTTTCGTTTCCCATGCTAAAAATATTATCGTTGTCTTCAGATATAGTCAAGCTATATCGTATGTTTTGGTGTTTTGCTACATGATATGTAATATTCTCAACTCATGTATGAAATAGCAATTGAGACTCAGAAGATAGATTACTTCTGGTTGTGTGCTGAATCAAGTTTGGGTTTCTTTTCCATTTCCTGATGGTTTGACACAGTGAAAAGGAGGTGGGGGAGGGAGGAAACCGGTTTAATGTTACACTAAGTCTAGCGATATATTGAAAACTTGTGCTTGATTCTTGAACGGAGGATTGGTTTTGTTGTCAGTAAAATATCTGAGTTACTGACCGGTTCATGATGCTCTATCCCAGCGTGTCAAAAACTTTGTTAATCAATGCGGAATGGTCTTCTGTTTTAAAATGCAGGACATCCTAATGAGGCAAGAGGTTAGAAACACCTTCTCAAAAAAATGTTTTCAGATTATGGGATGTTTGTTCTACTCAGTTTTTACCATTGCAGTTTTCACTGTTTACAAGGAAGCAGAACCTTAAAAAAGACATCAAGTGCATCTATATCTTCATCACAATCCAAAAAAGCATGAAATCTCTATGCAGTTACATTTTGTTCAGCTGTTATGGGGTTTTCTTTGAGGAGCAGCCATGTAAAATATCCAGAGAATCCGCCATGGACAGTGAGGTATATCAGTCATTTATGCCCGGATAGTGGTCTCTGGTCTGCCAAACAAGCCTCCTGCAGAGTCTGCACCTGTGAGGGCTAAATTTCTGTGTTGGCGTGTTTCAGTGCAGTTGAAGTCTAGTCATAGTACTAGCTTAACTAGTTAGGCTAGTACCATGAGAGCTATAATGATTTGCAGGAAAAATAAGTATACTTTTCCAGGATTTCAGGATACGTTCAGCAAAAATGTCCTGTGGTTTTATTTAATGCTAAACTGGACTGAATTTAGCATTTACCCTAACGGAAAATTGGTAGCTAAAATAAACCTACACTTTCGATTATCCATATGCACGTGTATCACCTGCTTTAAGTCAATTTAATATTTTAACAAAGAATTTAATGTCATGGGACTCCTGTCATTGTGACAAAAATAAACAAACCCCTGCCAATATACCTAGTTTGGTATATTTTTCCATATTAGATAAACAATATTGTGTATGACATCATCAGGAATAAAGCTATATTCAGACATATATTGAAATTATTGTTAGGGTTTAGGTGGATGTTTATACTTCTGTGATTTTTATGCACCTTCCTCACTATCACACCAGCTTTCAAACCTGCAAAGACTTAAAGCCAAAGCATTCTATGCTTTTTTATTCAGACTGAAGCTAGTTATTGCTTTTTGAGGTTTAGTTAGTCAAACTGGGGGGGAGGGAGAATCTTTTAAACTCACATTGTCAGAATCAGACTCCAGATATGATACTGTTTTTCTAACTATTAGAAGCATTGGTTAATTGTTTTAATGCCGTTTGCCAGATTGCCTGTACATAAAATAAGTTCCGGGGTGCCTGTAGTGGAGCCAAGTTTATCTTTTGACTGCAAGTTGCAGAAATGAACCTAACTACTATTCAAGAGTTGTGGGTGCAAGGGGGGACAGAGTGTGCCAGTGGTGCCTGCTGTGGAGCTCAGGAAATGGCCGGGTTTTATCTCTCAATAACTGAATGTAGCTGTTTCTTGGTTTCCTGGAATAGTTCTTCTCCTGTGGCGATAAAGATTGAAGTGATGATAAGAAACATGAAAGCAAAGTGTGTGTACTTTTTCACACGATGAATGAATGTCTTCCAAAATCTGAGTTTTTAAAAATGTCTTGAGTGCTTTGCATTGCTAAAACAGCTATTGCGTTTTCAGGCGCATTTTTCAGGGTATTTTTTCTCTAGTTATGTCAAGCTTTGTCTTCAAAACTTCACAGAAATCATTCAGCATTCCTAGAAGACATTGTCTTGTCATTTCTTTCACACTTCAGCAAATGTATATTGTGTTGTAGTTGGTATCAATGTCACCGTTATGTATGAGGGTTGTGGGTGGTCACATTCTTTGTGTGAATATTTTTTAAACCAGCAAGCCCAGAACAAGGTTTCTGATGGATTTCACTTAGATCTTTGTTGCTTTTAAGCTTTGTTGCTTTTTTCAAGTACAGGGCTATTCATCTGAAACTTGGAAATCAATAACTTTTGATAAGCATTTTGCTCTGAAAACCAGTCGTTTGGAACTGTTCCTGTGGGAGTAAACAAGTACTTTGTATGAGCATCATT